CTCGTCCCGAGCGCTCTCCATCTGTTCTCTCCTCCTCTCTTCTTCTTTCTCTTTCTTTCTGCTTCTCCCCGCTCGGCAGCTGCCGCTCGTTTGGGAAAGGCAAAGATTCGTAAAAGGCGATTCCAGGCGCTTTTCTTTTAGTTTAGTTCCCCCTCCTCCCTTCCCTCTTTTTTTTTTCTTTAACCCAGAGAACAACTGCGCTGCCGCGTTCCCTGCGTTAAAGTTGTTGGATGAGCTGCTGTAAAAGTGCGTCCCCGTGGCATATAAATAGCTTTTTTCCAAGTGTCTGGGCGGAACTTTTTGGCGGCATCGTGCAGGGATGATTAAGTTGCTTTCCCAGTCTCGGAAATCAGCAACAGTGGCATTAGTACTTGGACGCGTTTTCCGTGGGTAAAGTCAGATCTTCCATCTATAAGGCAGCATAACACTGAACTCTTTGTTTCAGAGCTGTTTGGAGGGGATGGCTTTGTTTTGATTTTGGTTAGATGTGTATTTTGGATAACCACATAGTTTTTTTGTTCTTAGTTAGCACAGCCTCTTCAGATCCTGAAGCAAGCTCAAAAATTTTCTCTTGTTACTATGGACATGGCAAATGTCTGTCGGTTCTCATGTGTGTTTAAATAGTGAGTTTCCCCAAGTAAATCCAACTCAGTGACTCAGGTTCTCAAATGTTGAAACAGGCTGGAAACCTGTAACTGAGCAACATTGTGAGGCTAATTGAAGGCCTTAATTGGAAAAGCTCCCTAAGCATCACAGCTGCTCAGAAACTGCTCAAAGGATTTTTGCTGTCCTCTGAATTTAACCTAGTCTATGTGATTTTTACCTTGGCATGTCTGCCTGGAATAAATATTGTTTATTATTCATTTAATCCTGAACGGGAGCATGTCTTTTTAAAAGAGATGTGGTATTTTAATGTTAGTCAAATTTTAGTTCAAACACTGGTGCATCTGCTGTTCCTTTTAAATATTTATAAAGTGGTTACAATAATGCAATATTGTGGTTCTGTTTCACAAATAGTAAAACATACTTGTGATGTTTATATAAGCAACATCTTTCATAAATATCACACGAGTGTTGTGTAGGACCAGGGACTGCAGAGCACACATATGGCTCAAATAACTGTTTAATGGGAAAAGCACAGCCAAGTGAGTGAACTGCAGATCATTTTATATCTGAAAGGACAGTCATGCTTAATAGCAACATAGCAGATGTTCATGCTGCTTACAGACTACAGTAAAAATATTTGGTCTCAAGTGAAGAGATTTTAAAGGCCTGCATAAAATAAAATAAGATATGTATGCTGTGATAAAATCTGTCTTAACACAGTGTAGTGTCAAGACTTGGGCAAGAATCTGAGCATTTTTTTATGTTACTGTACAGTATTCTCCATGTGTACAGTTTCTACTACCAGCTTGTTAATGAAACACAGTAGGAATAAGTTTATTTTTAAGTACCATGCCAGAGGTGGGCTTCCTAAAGAGATTGAGCTTTGTGGTATCAGTGGCTCCCAGTTCCTGCAATGTGATTGCAACTGTGGTGGGTGATGCTGCTAGTCTGCCTTGAACTGTCTTCCCAAATGGGCAATCCTGTAGCCTGATTAAGATTTCTGCCTATTATCAATCCTATAAATTAATAATGTATTGTTTAGTTCCCCTGGGTTTTATTAACTATCCATGGATTCTTTGTCCCTGCAACTGAAAACTTGTGAGAATGTTGTGCCTCCAGAAGAACCTATGGAATTAAGGGTTTATTGTGCAGTGGGTTTTCCACCCCCCTTGTTATGTGTGATTGGATTACATAGTCCCTTTCTAACCTTAAAACCTCAGTAATTAAATTTCAGACTTAGCAGATACTAAACATAACAGAACATCTTTCATAAGGATCCATCTCACCTGAGAGTGGCCAGAATAAATCCCCAGGAAACAATATTTGGAAGAAGAGTGTAGTGGACCTTTTCCAGAGCACTGCCCTGACAGGCATCCTGGAGCCAAGCTGAGCCCATGGTGGTGTATTGGGATTGTTCGTGCTTGTCCAGTTACTTTTGTAACCCATGTGGGTTTCATGAGTTAACAACAGCAATCTCCTGCTTGCTCACTCCCAGTTCCTTGCTATTCTAGTAACAAGTTTGTCTGCGAGTCTTTCTCCCTTACCTGCAGACTGCCTGCATTCTTGTTCCTCTTCTCGTGTTTTCTCTGTTAATTTTTACTTTCCTACTTCGCTGAGGTTTTTTCCTGTGGATTAAAACAAATTGGGGCCAAACCCTTATGCTGGAACATAAAAGCCAGTTTTGATGGATGGGCTTGTGTTGTGACCCCACAACCTTCTGCAGCAAATGTGACTTATGCCCTTTTTTTCCTCTTTGCTCCTTTAAGCAAAGCAAATCGGCCGTGAGATTGAAGGAGGACATGAAAAAGATAGCTGGGTCTCCCCTGAACAAGCAGAGGAACACAACCTGTCCAAAGGTGTTTGGTGTGAGTCTTCTGGAGCTCCAGCAGCAGGGCCTGAGCAAAAATGGAATCCCAATAGTTGTGTGGAATATAGTGGAGTACCTCACCCAGCATGGTAAGATCAGTAGAGTCACATCTTCTTAGCATAGCAGCACTCTTTATGTAGGACTCTTCAAAGGAAAGAATGTGGGTTTTTTTGTGGCATGAACCACAGGCAAAGAATGTATGTGGTTTGCTGCTTTTTTAAATTTCTGCCTTGATGCTGAACTTACTTTTTAATGTTTATAAAGGTGAACTACAGTGTTACGTAGCAGCACACTCATAAACAAGCTGTTCAGTTTGTAAATGGAATGTATTCCATTTGTGAAGGCTTGTGGCATCTTCCAGTTGCAAAACATTTGTCTTTAACACTTTAACACTTTTTCTGTATAGAGATAGACACAGGCACGCATACACATACACACACATCCCATCAGAGAATATTATTGGAAAGGAATACCAGTTCTTACAGATGAATTCCAGTTATTATTAATCCCCTCAAGGAAGTAGCTGTTCAGTTCTTAGCTTCTCTTTGCATTCATTTAGTGGGACTTCAGTTCCTGTTGTTGAAATACGTCTCCTTGTAGAAACCTAGAGCACCACTGGTGCACAGATGTCTTGTATGGCATTTGGTCAGCAATGGAAAAGATTTTGTAATGGTATTGGCATCTTCTAAGGAGCTGCATCTCGTTTTACCCTAAGGTTTTCTTTTAGCTATTCAACAATGATAATGCAGCTGTAGAGGCTTTGATTCTATGACTGTATCTTGGTAGATCCTCAGAAGCTCATAGATGCAAACATGGCTTGAAAATTAGCTTGGATTAAGGTACAGTGCTAATTTAAAACATGATCCTACCTTTACACAGCAGCCTCTTCCTTGATGCACTTCAACCTGCATAAAAGTGGCCTGCTAGGATGCTGGAAGGGAAAGAATGGAAAAAGCTTTCCATCATTTAGGGTTTAATCAAAACCAGAAGCTGACAGACACTCTTGACTGCAAGTTGTGGGCTGTGCTCTGTGTTCCATAAAAAGATTGGAATCCCACACGACCGTGTCCCAAATATGGACTAAACAAGCCAAGTTTTCTACTCTGAAGCAAGATTAGCTGGGCTTCTGAATGCCAAGTTGATTATCTGGCCCCAATAAAGATAAAGGCTATTCTTCTTCTCAAAAATGCAAGCAAGATCTCAAAGATACCCTCTCATATGGAAAGCTGTTGAAATGGGTGTCCTGTGTCTGTCTTATGTTTGTTTTGTGAATTAATGGCGAATTTAACTGTGAAGGCATTTTTAACAAAGGCCCAGACACCCAGGCTGAGCTGACTGTTGGGCAGCTACATCCTTAAACTAAGTTGCATTAAGCTGCCTATTTCCAAATTTATAGATGAAGCCAAATTTCCCTGTGCTGTATTTAGTAGTTTCTAATGACTGTTTTTAGGATGTTCTAGCCTATCTTTTTTTCCATAAATGAGTGAGAGAGGGGGAAGGAAGTTTAATCTATGTGTGTGCTGTGGCCTTTGCTCACCTAGTGCTGCAAAACCAAAAATCTTTATTGAGATGAGGTATTTTCTGCCCTCGAGATGGCAGCACAGCATGTCACATGAGAGTGCATTTTGTTGTGAATGCAGGAATACAAACTCTGACAGTAGTATCTCATATTAGTCAACTAAAATGTTTTGAGTGCTTCTCCATTTTTTCCTCTTACTAGAGCAGTTTGTCTTCTAATCATACAAAAGAGTTTATTTTTCTCTACAAACTCTGTTGCCTCAGAATTGATTTCCTGGACTGAAAACATTCTGTCAAATTGCAGTTCCTTGATGTCTAGTCTGAACTGTTGAAAACAATACATATTCAATCCTCTTAGTGTTATGTTTCTGAGGAAGAACAAACAGGTCTATAGACACAGTATTAGAAAGGCAGAATTTTTGCAGTGGAAGTGTTCCAGAGAAAAATAATTTACAAAGGTCAGTTTTAGGGTCTTCTCAGAAGGTTTTGAATCTTAACAAATGCCCAGAAAGTGCTGTTCAGTTTAGTATGATTAGTCTGGCTTCCTCTGTTGAAACTTCCTTTTTTCTACATCTCCTTTACTGGGTGTGGGGTGTCTGGCCTGTAGTGATTGATACCATTTCTTTTTTGTTGTGAAATCCTTTGGGCTTTGTGCAGCCCATGATACATTATTTACTTATTGAGATTTCCTACTACCATAAGGTTGCAGAACTCACTATGGAGTTACTGCTGCACTCAGCACATTGTGAGATGTTTTTGCCTCCTGATGGTCACAGGTGAGCACCTGTTACCCTGGAACATGAAGCTGGGAGTAATCCAAATGTGTGAGCATGGCAGAAAATGAAACTTGCGAAAATGAAACAACTGAAGGGTTTTGTAGCGTCCTTAGTAGGGTCCTTTTCTGTTGAAATATACCAATGGAAAATGTCTGTCTCAGTTGATTTCTCATGGTGGGAGACAACTCAATGGCATTGCAGTATTGTGGGTTCTCAGAAGTGTATCCCAGGCCTCAAGATCTTATAATTAGTATTTGTTATTTATCATAATGTAACTACCTGACTAGAGGGGGTGTTTGGGGACAGAGTGGTATTTTTTTTTTATATTGTAGTGTATTAATTGCCCTCATTTGTATTACTACATGTGTGTTATTCAAACTGGAATATCTGTTTCATCATGTCACTGGGATGTGGTGGTTCAGCTCAATTATATAATTATATAATTACAGGTATGACACAGGAGGGTCTCTTCAGAGTGAATGGCAGCATGAAGATGGTGGAGCAGCTGCGTCTGCAGTACGAGCGTGGGGAGGAGGTGGAACTTGTTAAAGATGGTGATGTGTACTCAGCAGCCAGTCTACTGAAACTGTTTCTGAGGGAGTTGCCAGATGGAATTATCACATCTGCCTTACATCCCAGGTTCATTCAGCTTTACCAGGGTAAGTGAGAGGTAAAGTCTTCATCCTTCAATGCACTTTCTTTCTGGATATCTGGTTTCTTAGTTTACTTACTTTGTTCCTCATTTCCTTTGGCTTCAGCTCTTATCTGCTCCCAAACGTGCAATTCTGTTACAAGAGGCAGAAAAATGTTTCTCATGTATTTGGTAAAGTCTGGACTATTTATGATTTTCTAATCCAGTTATTTCTGTTGAATAAAAGGTGAAATGATCAGCTGGTTTTTTCCAGGTATGGTTGTAGAAAATAATTGCAGTCTCTTTAGGACATAAATTTACTTCTGTTTGCTAGGGTGGTTTCTGGCAGTTTCATAGTAATGGACACTGAGAAGTGAGAACTTCATGTGCTTGTCAGATTGGGCTAAAAGCATACAGTGCCAAAGTTCCTGCTTCTCACTAAGTAATGTGATTGTCCATCAAAAAAAAGAACCAGTTTGCAAGTAACAGCAGACCTTATGTTCTATTCCCTGTCATAGCACACAACCTGGAAGATTTCTTTTTTTCTTTTATTTACACCTCCTCATCCACTTCAAGTGGTGGATCAGCCATAGGAAAGACCACCACTTCTGCTGTGGGAAGTTGAGAAATAATTTAAAAGAGAGTTATGCAAGTTTCAATCTAATTCATCTGTATCTGACACTCTGGTGGTGGTAGGTGGAATAAGTGGTGGTTGACCCTGCTCCCTGACCATGTGGGTTGCTGACAGTTCATCTCTCTTGCTGCAGGCAGTCAACACTTCAGTATGTTTTCCTAAGAAGCTGCAAGGTGAGTGGGTAAAGCTACTGGAGAATGCGGAGGAGTAACATGCTCTCTGACATGCATCCCTTGTGGAAGAGGGTGTAAAGTTCTCACACACTTGTCTTGAGGTCTCACTTCCACTTTTCTTGCCTTCCATGAAGAGGAGGTTTAGCCATTTCCAAGAGGAGTGAGAATAGTACCATGTGTTTTCTTTCTTCCTTTTGTTTTGTGAGCTATAGAAAGTGTTGATGGTGCACTGGCGAAGAGCTTTGTGCTTTACCTTCAGTGCATACATTTCAGCTGTAGGCTGTATATGGACTGTAAAATACCTTCCCTATTTAATAAAGCTATCTGGGGCACAAGGATAGGGCTCAGGAAGTGTTGTGTAGGAAGGTGCTGTTGTTTTAAAAAGTCCCTTTTTTTTCAGGTCATTGCTGTGCTTTCTTTGGGGACTTTTAGATTTCACTAGGTCTGACTCATGAGCTGTATTTATGTTCTTTCTCATAAATCACAGCTTAAGTGTAAATTAATAATAAATAAATAAGTCACGCCTTTGCTGTTCCATATCTCTGCCTCCACAAAGGTCATATTGGTGTATTGTACCAGGAACTGCTGGTGTCTTTTCTGGGCTGTTTGTGGTATTTGTGGAAGGGTTAATTTGTTCTGTCTCCTACAGGAAGGGCAAAATCCCCCCCAGTACTTTCTAGGGAAATGAGATGGATATCATTACTTAACAGATTTACTCACCAAACTTTCTTGTTTCCAAATAAAGTTACTGGTGTAACCTATGAACCCAGGTCTGCAAAAATCCCTCCAACTGTGACGTCTCTTCATAGCTAAGTTTGCCTGTATTTCACAATAAGATCAAGCTAGTGCCATTAAAATTTTGATTAGGGAGTAAAACGTTTTACTTGGAAAATGCCAGTTGGCTGTTGTGGCAAGGGGAAGGCTTTTGTAAAGTTTGGAGAAAACTTGAAGGGTTTTTCACACCCCAGAAAATACAGCATAAATGAGTAGTTATGAAAGGCGCTGATGATTTTCATCGTGTTCAGATAAGCTTAAGTAGTAGGTGGGCATTTGCTTGCAGTTAAATGATCAACCAGCTGTGCGGGATTGCAGGAGTTATCTGTTCACTTATCAAAGTATGTGCAAGGGTATTGCTTGCAAAATGGTACCAGGACAGTGCATGCCTGGGTGTTCGTTTTGTAAACTGTGAAGAGAGTAGGTCAAACTATTTCTGAGTCAACAGGTTATTAAAAAATAACTTTGAATCTGGAGCCACTTTGCAACATGTCTACAGTGAAGGCAAATACAAGCTCTGTCAAAACCTCTGTATTCCCCGCTGTTGAAGTTTTGCGTGGGAAATGTTTTTTTAGGATTATATTATATTTCTTTTGGTGCATTTTTAGGGATTGTTATCAGCATTTTTTAAGCCAGCTGAGATCTTGGCCTAAGAAGAATACATAATTACTTCACTTACTATAAAAATGGTTAGAGAGTGATTCCTCTAGTTAAAAATAGCTGAACTGAAAATTACAAATTTTACCTGTAGCTGTAACCCTTTTCAATTTCAGCTATCAAATTAGTTGCCAAATCAAAGAGAAATAATCTGCCCTATTATGAAAGAGAGAAGCTGTCCTGTTAGTGTTCAGGAAGTCCATGCAGCTGGTTTGGCATTGCTGTCTGCAGCCTGTGCAGTGTTGTGTGAAACAGAGCTCTGCATGCTGCCCTCAAATCCTACAGTACTTTTGTTTAAATTAATATTCAGCATAATGCCAAGACTATGCAGTTCCATAAAACATCATGCAGTGTATTGTGGTGTGTCCTGGCATTCTCTCTGTGTCCTTGGAGAAGGACAGTGGCAGTGGGAGATGGGCAGGGCTGGAGATGTGTGTTGCAAGCACAGGCCAGGGACACACTGATAGTGACCTTGGTGTGGGCTGGTCTCCTCACAGTGCCTGACAAATAAAGACTGCTCCTTACGGGGAGTTCTGGGGTGAAAAATGTCCATCACAATCACTTTTGTGGCTGAGGCTTCACTGCAGAGCAGAACTGTGTGAAATGGGCTGTACTTTGAGAAACCTCCACCAGAAATTAGCAGCTCCCGTACAGCAATCCCTGCCTGAGCTTGTTTATTCCCTCTGGCTTTTCATTCCTTATCTTCTGTATCATGATCGCTGACTCTTAAGACATCCATTCATAGTAGGAACTGTACGCCCAGCTCTTACCCCTGTCACAGGTCACTTGCTTCCATCAAGGCAAAGTGCTACTGTACTCTGCATTCTTTCTTGTTGTTGTTGTTTCATTTCCTCCTCCAGTGGAGGTGCAGTGAAATACCGACTCTGTCTTCCTTTCTTACTCAGTCTAATTAAGTTTAATGCTATTTCATCACTCTGGCTTCTTGACATTGTTTATCCTATAGAATTTATATTTTTTCGGTGGGCAGGAGCAAGATGTGAGTTCTATTTCATATAGTTCCTTCTGCTCACAGCCTGTGATGACTGGTGTGGTTTTGTCTGGTGCCTGTGAACAGCCTTGCCTGTTTCAGGGAGAGGGATGGAAGAAGCAGTTCCCTTCTGGATCAGCAGGTCAGTTTACAGAACACTTAGTAGCCAGCAGCTGTTTGAGTTACATGGACAAGCAGAACAAAAAATACAGCTTGTGTTGGGGGATTTTAGAGGTCAAATTTCAGTCTGAACAATGACATTGAAAATGAATAGATGAGTGCTGACCTTTTAACCATTGTTATAGATGGGTCATGAGATGGTTGGCTCTCACAGTTAAGGCATGAATATTAAGTGTATGTTATGAGAAGTTTTATTGCTGTTGTTGTGATTTTTTGTTTGGATGGTCTCTGTTCTCTCTGTAATCCCCTTTCCCTTCTCCCTTGTGTTGTTCCCACTGGTAGTTGAGACATGTGAAGGGAGGATAGGTACCTGTGTCCCTTGGCATGACAACACCTGACCCCAATCAGGCTGCAAGAAAGCAATCTCCACCAGTGGACAGTGAAGAAGAGTTGATTTGCAGACTTTGGGAGGGGCTAGGGTTACCTTTTGCAAACCCAGGGGTATAAAAGGTGGAGCAGCTGTTTTGTGGGTGACACTCAGTCCCAGCAGTGGGACTCCCAGTAATTTTTCTTTATTCAGTCCCTTGTTGTACTTTGTTAAGGTTTAATAAACCTTTGAAATTTTTAAAAGTGGGCATCATTTCCAGTACCATGGTAACTGCAGCCGTGCATGAAATCTGATTCATTAGATATCTTGAGGCCCTTGTGACATGATTTTAGCCTTTTCCTTTGGCTTTTATGGCCATTTTATTGTTATCAGAGCTGTTTCAAACCCAGAGAAATAACTTCTGTTTTCCATATGATGGTGACGTTCGTTATGCAGTAAAAACTCTTGGAACTGGATTTTTCTGCAGATGACACTCACCAGAGTTGCAAAAGAAGTGTGCTTTTCCTCCAGGATGTTGGAATGAAGGATAAATACAGTGCTGCAAAGTGCCATAGTGATAGAGAGTGAGGTGTCTCAAGCTGGATTGTGATGACAGCCTTCTTATGAGCAGGGCTTACAACATTTCTGCTCCTGAAGGCAACAAGACGTGATTTTTTTTCCCTCTGGGGCAGGATCATGTCTGAAGGCTGGTGTCTGAAGCAGATTGTTTCTTGGCAGAGAGAGGCTGGAGTCCCACTTCCCATAGATTGCAGAGGTGGAAAGAAATACTTTCATTCCTCCCTCAGCCCAGTGGGTGCCATGGTACTGCAATGCACAACCTGCTGCCCCTGTGCCAAAGATCAGCTTCCCAGGGCACATTGAGAACTGCTGACAGATGCAAGCTTTTCTGTCTGCCCTCCACTCTGCTAGCATGCAAGGCAGCTGGGAGCTATGCAGTGGTAGCATGACACTGAGCAGTTGCCTTTCCTCCTCACCTCACAGCACAGATAATTGGCTAGGGCACTGTGGTAATGTGCTTCCAAACTGGAGTTGTTTGGGGTCAGACCATTTGAGACTTGAGCAAAACAATTATGCACACCTGTTTGCATGGATTCCATATATTTAGTAAAGTTCAGGCAGCATGGAGTAACATGAACAGTGATGAATTGGGGAATTAAGTTGTGTATCTAGTATGTCAGAGACACTCAATATGTTCAGAAATAGCATGAACTATTGGAAAATACCTCCCTCTTGTTGCGAGCTGTGGGTGTATGCTGAAATGAAATGAGACTGAAAACACCCTCACAAATGTGTCTGTACCTCCTACACTGTTGAGACTCCTGTTTCTAGTTAATTAACATTTTTGGAGATACTGCCTGTCGTTTTCACTTCTCTCCTTGACTCATTCCTCAGTAATGAGTCCCTAGTTCAGCTTTGAGGTGCCAGCTGCCCCTGCTGGCTTCCTTGATCCTCTCTGTGTTTTGTGTCCTCAGGCTGCTGAGCCTAGACATGGCCTGAGGCTGCTGGTTTTGTTCCATTCCTCAGCCCTATCCACTCCTTCCTTCTTGGTTTCAAGCCCTTGCTGACTGCGCATCTAGCCAGGCTTCTCTTGCAAGCCTTGGCTGAGATGCTGTCTGTTGCACATGGCTTTTGGAAGGCTCCCAAAATAAAAAATGGAATGAGTTTGTCTGTCCTTGAGAGCACCTTCCTCTTAGCCTCCATTCTTATTTTCCTCCTTTTCCCCTAGGCAAATTAACTGGACATGCTGTGCTTGAAAATCATGAGTAGCATAAACCATTCTGGTGCTCTGATGTTAGATAGTCACTACCAGTTCAGTAAACCTTAGTGACTGACTTTGAAACAAACTGAAAAGGAGGATGAATGCTCCAAAGAATGGGTTGTTGTTATGACTCGACTCATGTTTTTGCTCTCTAGTAAGTTGAAAAGCTGTAATATTTGAAGAAATACATTAATTGATAGCAGTAGTAGACTTGTCCTGAAAACTGTACAAAGTGTGTGTATACTGTGTTTGCATGGCACTGTTGAGATTCACCATGAATTATTAAAGCAATTTTTAAAAATAAAGCGGAAATCCATGAAATGTCATCAGCAGAAGAATCAACAAATTAATTCTGATTTTTGGATTCTTTTGGAAGAAAAACTTGATTTCTTCCCTTGTCTTTTTACTGGAGAAGGAGGACAGAGAGCATAGCCCTATTTTCTTTCTTAGATTTCACAAAGAGAAGGAACTTGATGGCTCAGTAAATGGGGTTTGCTGCCTCGTGTTACTCAGTGTCCCTATGTCCTTCAATTAGGGTAATTTCTCATCATCTTGTGATGTGGTATCTGTGTCTGTTCTTGAAAGTACAGAAATGAACAAAGGTTGGCTGTGCCCAGCAATAATATTTTTGATGTTGATTCATACCCCAAAAACATCATGGTTAATGAGCAGGGACATCCTACCCAGAAAATACCACTAAGGCCACGGGCCCAATAGCTTTGTTTGTTGTCAGAGTGCAAACCTGTGCTCGGAATGTTTTGTGGTGGTTATTAGCATCTTCCTGGTTTGGAAGGGATGGAAATTCCTTCAGTAAATGAAAAAGTACCCATCAGTCTAAAGTCCCAGTGGGAGACTCAGAGAGGCAATTAGTTATCAAGGGCATTCCCTAATTAGATGACAGGGTGATGGTGATGGAAGGGGTGCATTTTTTCTGGGAGATGGCTTTGGCTTTCCTTATCATAACTGCAAGCAATTTGTAGTAGAAAACACTGTGCTTTGTTATCTAAAGAAAAGTATGTTAGGAGTATGTTTTGGCTACATGGAAAATTAGTTGTTTTTGTTTTCTTTTAAGATTCATAAAAAGATAATTAGTAATCAAGTCATAGACTGTACAGTCCACTTTGATAAGTGCAAGTACAAATGCACTGAAATTCCTTTTTGTTATTCCATTTAATACAACCTTCAGAAGCCTCCTGAATTTTCTGCAATAATAGATCAGATTTCTTGCTGTTGCCAAGCTGATTGGTAGCAGCAAAGTCATGATGGTTTTTTCCTCTCTGTAAGGGTAAAAAAGGTTGTGATAAGCAAGCAAATAAGATTTTTTTTCTCATCTGCTTCATGCATATTTGATATTTGACTTTTCTGAAGGAGCTAATTTCTTATCTGTAGAAGAAAAGGCTGTATTTAATCAGCTGATTAAAAGGTTTGGTCCTGTAATTTGACTGGCATTTGGTCTGCTGTGATGAAAGAATTCATACTAAGTCTGTGGTACAAAAACAGACACATAAAAGTGAATTCACGGTGCATATAAAACATAAAAAGACTTTCTTGCAGTGTACAGTATTAGGCATGCCAGGAAAAGCAGGAATCCTAAGCTTGGAAGCAGATGAAGTCCCTTGAGTTTCAGCTGTATGAAGTGGCAAATAAGTACATAAAAATCCTCATTTGTTTGCCATTTATTTGCAGGATAAATCCTTTTTATTAGCCACAAAAAATGTCTGATTGTAAAACAGAAATAATATTGCAGCTAACCACTTTTCAAAGCACTCTACTCCTGAAACACTGTTCAGCCCAGCCCTGGAATAATTCTGGGAAATGAAAGGTAAAAACAAAGACAAGACTTCTGAAGTGTTTATACATACATTAAACGGTGTTCAAAGACTTTTGTTTTCCCTCCTTTTTTTCTCTCTAAAAAACGTGAAACAAATGTAAATTGTTCTTTTTTTCTTTTGCAACACCAGCCATGGGATGTTTTCCTGCCAGTCTTCTCTGCATGCTGGTAGCAGGGCATGCAGCAGAGCAGCACCAGCAGCCCATAAGGCTGATAAATAAGGAAAAAAAGTACTAGAAGTGCACAGATGGCCTCATGCTAATGGACACTGCTTGTAATTAGGTGGGTGTGGAAAACCTTCAGGGCATGAGGTCTTCTGTCTGAAAATGATGATGCAGGGTCCTTGGGGTTTTCATGCATATGGGAAAGTTTCAGTTACATTTTGCTTTCATGGACAGTAGAAATTAATATTTGCAAGGAATAACACATCCTGTTTTGGTGTAAAGGGAAAGCAATACTGACTTGTTTTCAAAACTTTGCTTCTACTGACATGTAAATCCAAGATTTTGGGGGGTACAAATCACTCTTTGGAAGGTGTTTTTGGGACGGAGGAGGGGAGCAAATAATATTGCACATGAATTCAATTCCAGCAGTAGGACACAGTTAAGCAGAAGCTGTGTGTGAGGCCAAGCTTGTGTTCACCACCCAGGTCTGTATAAACACAGCGTCTGTGAAGTACATGCAATTTTTACTTAAATACTTGGATGTGACTCAGTTCAATATGGAAAGCTTTTATCCATACCTAAATTCTAGAAGACTGTACAGTATAGCAAGGCTCCTTTCTAACATGAGGCCACATTTTGACTGGTTTTGGAGTGTGGCAGTGCCCAGAACAGTCTGTTTCCCATAAGGAAGACTCCTTCCAGATTATGCAGCAGAGTTGTCACCCACAGAAAGTATTGTAGTGCTATTATAACACTGCATTTCAGGAGACCCTTTGTTTTACCATTCCTGCTTTCTTAGTTTTGAATGTTTTCATGGGTAGGGAAACTAATAGTTTGAGAAGGGCTTGGGAAGTAGGGATGACATCCAGAAAAAGCATGAATGTGAAGGTCTGGTAGAGAGGGAGTTAAAGCAGATTTAGCTGTTCCAGGTGGGGATAAACATGCCTTAAAGCTCTTAGCTGACTGTTAGTAACTACTCAATCTGTTCAGGGGAAAGGTTATGGCATAAAGGTAAGAGTGAAATGGCGCCCTTGGTGGCCAGGATGAGCCTCAGGACAAACATGCACATTCCCTGAGGAAAACTGAGGAGTTGTGTGTCTCTGAGCAGAAGCAGAAGTGAATTTTAGCTTCTGCTGCTTGCTCACCCATGTAATTAAGTTGGCAGCAATGAAGAAAACCATATACATATGTTTTTTCTTCTCTTCTTTTTCCTAGACTCTAGAAACGACATGCAGAAGGAAAGTTACTTGAAAGAACTCCTTAAAGAACTGCCTGATGCTCATTACTCCTTGCTGAAGTACCTGTGCCAGTTCCTGATAAAGGTTGCTGAACATCACGTAGAGAACAGGATGAATCTTGGCAATCTTGCCACTGTATTTGGACCAAACTTCTTTCAGTAAGTTGGGCTTTTTACTATACCCTGTTTGCTGGCAGGTGGCCAGAAATGTAGATGTCAGGAATCTACTTTGTCAAGGTGATCAGATGGAAGCAGTGACAGGGGCTCTGTGTTCAACTTGAGTGCTAAAGCTGTTTTTGCTCCAAATGGAAGTGGAGTTGCTCTCCCATTTCCTCTTGCTGTTTGCTGAACTGTTTATGAGTTTTGTATTGCTGCTTTGGTAGCGGAGCAGAAGTGTAACAGTGAAATGCCTTCAGACTGTCAGTGCAAAGAGGGATGTGTGCTCATGCAGGTTTCTTCCTTTGCTATCAATTAATGTGAGTGCTTCTCTCCAGAAGGCTTTGACAAAGGATCCTTGGTGGGAAAGGACTCCAATGCAGCACCCAGGTGCTATATAATTTCTAGAGATGGATACTGCATGCTATCTGCATGTTTGGCTTTATGATCTGGTGTCTGCCCTCAGATGCTGGTGATTCTGGTCTCTCTGTCCTTCTAGTGTATTTAGAAACTGCTCTGGAGCTTGTGGGATTCCACTGGTCTCTTAAAACTCCTGACTGGGGTCAGTAGCTTTACTGGGTTCTTTCACTGGGTGCAGTTCCTGGGGGCTTGTGCTGAAGATGTGTTTAACGTGCTGGTGGAGCTTGCAGCAGTAGCCAGAAGAGTTATTTCCAGGTGCAAGAACAATCCTGAGTGAGAAGGTTTCTGTTGAGTCACTGCAGTGATGCAGTGCAGCATTAGCACCTTCACCTCTGCAATGAGCCCACTGGCTGGCATCCAAGGTCCTTGGCATGGGAGACACCTAAGCAGTTTAGTTCAGTCATCAGTCTTGAAAGGTGTGTGATACCACCAAGAACAGACAAATGAGTTCCTTGTATCAATGTTGCAGTTATATTGATTTTTATTAAAATATTGCTCTGGACTAATACTGAATTGTCTAGTAAAAGTTAGTCTCATTAAGCAATTAATTTAATCTTTCCCCCTGAGTTTCCTCTTGGAAAGACATAGATTTCTTTAAAGAGAGAAAACAGAAATTAGGTTCCTGTAATATGTTGAGATGGTTCCTTGTACCTAGGCTAGATGTTGCCTGCTGTCTTTTTAAGGAACATATCTTTTTCCATTGATTAGGGAGAGAACATGGAGGAATGAGACACTTAAACTAAAGCTTGTCCTAGTGACTACATGGCTGCCTTATCCTAAGATGTTGCTAGTGGATGATGAAGGTGAATTTCAGGATTAAAGTATTTGCTGTGTTAGTACAAAAAGATAAAGTATATTTTAAAAATAATTGTTTTGCTCTCTAAAACAAAAAATGCTCAAAAGACAGTAATATGCATGGGAATGCGCGAATATGAGAATTACTGTAAGCACAATACTGTGAATTTCTGACAAGGAAAAGCAAAACAATTTTTTAAACTTGCATTCGTATGGGTGGTTTGGGAATTGCTGTCTAAATGTATTAGCGGAGTTCAGAACAAACAAATTAGAAGAATTTGAGTTCAATGGCTAAATCTCTATGACTCAAGCTCCCAAGTGGGTATTAGAATAATTTTTAGTTTACTCATCACTTCTTTCAGGAGAGTTTAAAAATTAGCTGTGCATATTTTTTGGTGTAGAATGCAGAGAATTGCAGTTTAAATTTGCAACTGGTATTCCTAATATTAAACCAAGGACTATGTGTTAAAAGCTCTATAGTTGTTGCCACAACTGATCTCTGCTCCTAAGACAGCATGGAAAAGATAGAAGCGTTTTTGTAAGGTACAGAGATGGATACACCTCATTCCATTGCAGAAGACTGAGGAAGGCAGAGATCACTGGAGGTAAAATACCAAAGACTCATGAGTCTGGATGAGAGTGTTACCAGCCCAGCAGATGTGATACCTTGAAATAAATGCTCATGTGGCAAAAGGGGCATTGAAAGCAAGGCTTCACATTTACCAAATGGCTAATGAGTTTTTAAAAGACCCAAATAGGTTAGAATTAGGCGTGTAGATTTTTATTTAAACTAAGTTTCACCATCTTGTGTTTCAGCTCTGTGTTTTATCAGATCTTGATCTTTTCAGGGCAGTTCACTCTTGTGGTCCAGACACAAAGATTGTGAGGAACAGTTCAAATACCCTTTTCTCCTGCGTTAATGGATGCAATCTTCTATTGCTGGAACTGTGACTATCTGTACCAAGATTTGATAGGTAGAGGAAAACTTGCAGCACTGTTTTTAGGTGTTGGGCTTAACCAGTTGGTTGGCCAAGCATCCAGAAGGAGATCCTCAGAGCACATTTCAGAGCTACACAGTAAGGCTGCCTGAAGCCTGCTTGGCAAGGGCTGTCTCTCTCTGCTGGCTGCAGGCAGTCTCTGGAGAAGCTGCAGAAATGAAATATTGGCAGGAGGCTGAGAGATCGCTCCTCTCGCTTTGCGTTGTTTGTTCCCAGCAGTGCATGGCGGCTTTCTCCACGGCAAGGAGAGAAGGCTCAGCTTGTCAGCAATTACACTGCTGAAGCAGGGAGAACTGAGATTTTTCTGTCAGAAATTCACACTCATGTCTAAAATTAATGTCAGTTTGTGTAGTTGAGGCACAGTGTCACAGAAGATAAAGCCCATCTGCTGATAGTGAAGGACTTCTTTTGGCAAGGTATTTTTAGTGACAATTTAGCTACTTAAGCGTAGTATCTCCTACTCCATAACTGAAGTTGTTTAACAGTTGAATAAATCATGCTTCTTGGCCACTTTCCAGATATTTAGACTTCATTTTAATTCTCTTATTCTCATTCTGTTTTTCTACATCATATCCTCTGTAATATATCCCATCTCCTAAACCTTCAACCCTTATTGCTTTTATCTTATCCAGTACTTCCCCTGCTTCCTTACTTGCTGTTTGACAAACTGCATTGGTGTTTTTCTAAGAAAGATTATCTTGTCCTTTCTGTATTTCTAATGAATAGAAAGGAAATAAATGGCTATTTGCATTCCTTGTATTGAAGTGTGATATAAGATACAAGAACATGTAAAGGGCAAGGTCAAACAGCTCAGAAAAAGATTTGAGATTTGGTTCACTATTTTTTCCCAATTTGGTTTGTTCAGATTGTGATGGAAGGCAAAGGTCAAGTATATTGAGAAATACAGCCCTGGAGGAGCTACAACCATGAAGGAACAAAAATAGCTGTCTTTTCTGTCACTGGGCTAATCTGTGTAGAGTATTAACATTTGCAGCGTGGTTACTTTTGGAGGAAGTTTTGTCCATTGACCTGAATTTCAGCTCCTGGAGAGACATAGCCTTAGTTAAGGCCTGCTGTGTGGGCTCTGCTTGGCTCTAACAGCTTGTGCCGAAATGGAGAGGACCAGCGGGTTTTCTCTCCTCCTCTCTGTTCTCCAGGAGCTGGGTGTCAGAGGAGCTGCTGCCCTTATCCTGTCCTTGGTTGGCGTGGTAGGACATGAGGTCCAACAGATGTAATCAGAGGATCCATTTGTGCCATTATTGCAACTCTCTCTCAAGCAGTCATCTCTGTGTGGGGCCTCCATCATTCAAGCCCTTGTGAACTTGGTTATGTTTCATTCCAACAGAGATTTTGTTGTGAGGGATTGCTCCATCCCCCCAAAAGTGGTTGGCAAATGCAGGTGTCTAGTTAAAATGCTGGAGTTAGATGCAGTTATTTATGTATGATGACTGTGTAATATGAAGGGTAACAAGAAAAGTATATTATCTTTGGATATGGAGAAAATGGTAGATTGTAGGGTAGATGTAGGTATTTCAGAGATGCTGAACTTGAAATAATTAATATTTGATCTGAAGTTACGTGTGAATGTCTTACTTTGGTTTCTAGCAGCCTTGGAGCCTGCACGGATTGGGTATACAAAACTGAATTGAAAGCAGAGGGACTGAATTAATATTTCTCAGTGAGTAATGTTGGCCTTTGGAACTTTATGTAGATGGGCTTTGTTTTCAGGCAATGCAGCCCCAATTCTGCATCAGTCTTCAAAAAAATTGCAATCTAGGATTGGGGGCAAACTGAGTAGAGAATATTGTTGTTTAAGCATGAATTATTGCAAATTGGAGCATGCAGCCGTAACCTTTCTTACAGTGTTCACATAGATTTTAAATACTGCATTTTCCAGCACTGCAAAGGAATTTTTACTAAGCATTCAGTATGCTGAAGCCTTTAATGACAGTTTAAAACATCAAGTATAATATAGCAAGGCTATAAACGTTCTCATCCATAATCATATTAAGTACTCATGAATATTTGAGCTTAGCAATACAGCTCAAATGCAATCACAAGGAGAGTTTTTGAAGAGCCTCTGCTTTGAAACATTTGGAGATGAGAGCAATGCACTTTGTAAGGGGATGTTAGGCTATGGACTGCCCTTTGTCCCCCTTTATGTAGGTTGCACTCTCTAAGATGTCCCCTGTCACTGTAATTTTATGATGAAAAATGAAGCTTTTGCTGAAGCAAAAGATTTTGCTTATAAATGAAGCCAATCAGTAAAGCCATTGTGGCAGCATCACTCTAACTGCTTTGTGTTACCTGTGTTGCCTGCGTTTTGCATTTTATTAATAATTATTATCATTCATTATGTGCTGTTGTTTTATTATTATTTATTAGTGCTATTATTTTTTATTAATTATTTTTTATTTTGCAAGCAGTGCTGATAGAGCTGAATTACTGAGTTAACTTAGGCTAATAAATCTGATCCTAGAGAAGATAATCTGGAACAGATTTTAACAGGCAGGCAGGTGCATGCCCCAGATTTGACTCTCCAGGATTCTCCAGTATCACAGGAGCTAAAACACCTCTGCAAAATCTCAGTAGTTGTATCTATCATTGCATTTCACCCCGATTGGTAAGGTTGCAAATTATGCAGGGCACGTAAAGGAATCACATAGACTGAGATGAACAACTGTCTCAAGTGAGCGTGGCTGTATCTTTAGCTGCTTATTAGACTGTGATCTTGCAGCAGGGTCTGCAGACATGAATATGTGCCAGTTTCAGCTGCACCAGTTTGTGGACTGGTGTGTCAGGACAATCCCTTTCATCACCTGAAGTGGATGAGTTCTGGCCACGAGGTTGGATCTGTTAGAGACACAGTGAAGTCTGCCTAGAGGCACAGAACAGACTGCCTCAAGTTGTAACCTCTATAAATTACTGCAACTCTGCTCTCAAAGTCTCCACTTGTGCTTGTTGAGGGACTCATGGGCATCTGAGGTACTAATGAAAATGTTTTGTTGGGGCTGGAGAAACAAAAAATCCATGCAGTGTTTCCTGTCCTTTGAGTCCCATATTTCTGGCAGGATTCCCTGGGAGAATGATAAGTTGACTTTGTGGTGCTTCTCTACAAAAGGTACTGTACAAGCAGCGAAAGTAGTTTATAGAGCATCTAGCCCCCTGTGATTGTAAATTAGGCTTACAGTGCTGTCATTCCATGCAAGCTGCTTCTGCAGAGCCACTTGGGGAAATGGTAATGTGCATCTTTCATCTCAGACAGGGTGGGGTCAAGCACTGTTGGGAATTGGTAATGAGATGACCCTTTCACATGGAAATCTCGGGTTCTCAGTTGTGACAGGGAGCTGTCAGCAGTTGCTGCCTGGGGAAATCAGTTCAGTGACCTCAGTTCAGCTCATTATAGACAGATTACTACTTCCCAGGTCCTCCTGGCCACTTGAAGCAAGTTTCCCAGGTGTGGTGGGTGGTGACAGAGCCCTGTAGTGATGCCTGTCCTGTGCCACGTGCATGTTTGGATGTGTCACTGCGCTGCTCTCAGTTGGAGTCTGGAGGTTCCCTGTCTGGAAAGCCCACTCTGCATTCAGCCTGTTAGAGCTTATTTGCAGAGACCCGAGGTAAATTCATTTAACTAAATGCCTGAGATGTAAGGAATTCTTTTACAGTGAGTTAATCTGACCTCAGGTCACTTTGCTTCTGAGTAAAAGCTGGGACACAGAGCCTTGCTGTGGTTTAACCCTTTGAGACAAGCTTTCCTGAGCATCCCTGTGGAAAGAGACTTGGACTCAGTCTGGAAAACCCAATGAACATGAGGGTGTGGTGTCTGCCCGGACAGGAGCAGCGTGGAGCTGCACTGGGTGGGCCAGCCACGCTGGCAGGACACTGTACAGAAGTGTGAAATGCTGCTGGGTATCAGATTTCGAAATGAAGAGCTGACAGCCCAATCCGATTACCAAGTAATGTTTTAATTTTGAGAACTGCTTTTTCTGCTTTAAAATTACTTCACCAATAATTTCAGTTTTTATTATCCTGCAAAACTCGTGGTACTGATGCATCCTTGCTCTTGACCCTTCTTAACTGTGTCAGATACACTTAATGCTGGTGCCTCACTTAGACAAGGCACATTTTTTCCAAATATTTAATGTGGACACACTGTGCTTTGCACACAGATCATTCAGAGCATCTCTTTGGGAAGGGCAGGTGTCTGTGGAATCTAAGGGAGGGCACACTAGAAAATTTGCTCCTGCTCTGCCTGTGCTGTGTATCTGTTGATGACTTTGCAGGCCACTGTGATAACTTCAGTGGGAGTTTTCCAGTTCAAATTGCTAAAATAGATCTGAATTTATCAACACTTTTTCTGCTAGAAATAACCATAGAAATTGCAGGTTTATGGCACCCTTCTGCTGTTTGTGGTAGTGAAACTGATGCTTCTGGTGCTGCTACTGAAGTAATTTGTACATATGTGACTGGAAGGGGATGAAGTCCTTCTGTTGAGGATTTTGTAACTGGAGTAAATAGTGTGTCTAACTCTCAAAGCATCGCATTTGTAATGACTAATTAACATGAAAATAGACATAAGGGCGCCATGGCTATGAACAGTTTTATACTCTGGTTTTTTAACAAGATCTTCACAAATGATAATGAAAATTTTCCAAGGATTAGGTTGTGCATCAGGAAAGTGAAAGTGTGAGAGAATATTTTCTCACAGATCTGTTTTTTTTTTTTTTTTCCAGTCAGTTGAAGTGACATTTGTAGATGTCATGACTTTTCAGAATGAGAAGAGCTAAAGTAAAATGCTATTTTTTTTTACATGCATTTTCAGAAAAGTCTAGTCAAACTGGTAGATCATGCAGTGTGGCAGCAGATGGGGTTTACTTTGTATAAATAGGCAGGGTGGTGTGTGCTCATAATATAAACTTATCTTCAGCTCAGCATATATTTGTTGAAAGGAAAATGTCACCATGGAGAGCTCAAAGAGTGTAATAGTCCTTATCGTGATTGAGGTCTAATAATAGCAATTAGAGGAGAAATATACTAGAAACTTTGTTAAATATGCCTGTTAATGTGGCAGAGAGGTGGCAATGAATAAAGTACGTTAAATTTCCATTAAAATAAATCACTTCATGGTCCTTTGCTTGGTTACGCTCAGAGAGAGGTGTTAAAAAAGACTGAAGCCATGAGCTTTAGCCTCATGTTTTGCATATGTGCCTCGCCCTACTCATACAGAATTGTTCAGAATAGGATGTTGGATTTTTCACAGGTTTGATGTAATAAATTTTAACTGGCAAGGTAGTGTGGGGAAGGGAGGGCAAGAAAGTAATGGAATTGGGCAGAAATTAAGTACTGGTTTTGTGCTTTGTGGAAACTATAGACTGGACTGTTTCTCAACCAGGTAGAATTTTTTGTATTAGCTGTTGCCAGTAGGCAACTGTTGGCAGGAGTTCCCAGCAGATGTGGCTTAGGTGAAAATTCTGCTATCTGGAGTCTTTATTTTGACTTGCATATGCTCTATTACATTTTCAGTCCTTTTCCTGGGAATGAGATTCATAGGGGTGCCCTTATTTAAGTTGTACTCTGTTTTGGAGAAACAAATCAGGAAGGTAATAGTCAGGATTTCCCTCAGCCAGCCTAGGCAGGCTTTGCAGCACACCAACAATGGAGCACATCATTTAGCACGGCAAGAGGGGTTCCCATCAGTCAGGACAATTGCATGGGCCTACTGCATACATACACTTTCTTCAGGCCACTTGTTAAGTTTTAGTGAATATTTGACATTCTCCAAAATGAATTGGCCAGAGTGTATCTGCACATCCATCAACAGAAGTTCTCCATTTGTTCTTTATTTAGTGTGAGCCCAACTTCCACACTAAAGAAATCAATCATCAGAGGCTGACACATTTTTACAGCTGCCAATATTCTACAGTGTAAAAGAATTCAATCCTTTAAAATTCAGGTCCTTCTACTCCAGCATGTATTAAATGTTGAAATAATAGCAATAAAGACTGTTCTGGAGAACACATCTTACAAAGATGTGTTCTGCTGCAGTGGTTGCTCTCTCTGTTGACACGTAGATGTATGGCACAGAGTAAAGCATTGAGAATGGTCAATAGCCCCTACATAAAGGCACTTTTTGATGACAAATGTCTGGGAGAATCAGCTTTCAGAGCCTTGTTGTTGAAATGCACATCTGGCCTCGATAAACTACAGTTAAAGTTTTAGGGTAGGTAGTTATTTGTAAATTTTTATTTACTTTTTGCAGTAAGCAATGGTTTACTTTCAAGTTACATCCCTGTAAAGTAGCTCAGGGGGAATTTGTTTTGCTTTTGGGGGTTGGGTTGTGTTTTCTTCTCACATAACATCTTCTTGTCTTCAGCCAAAAGGTACTTGAAACTTTTGTTTTTGTTTTGGCTTCTCTGCTTCTTCACTCTAAATGTTTCCTGTGTTTCATTACTCTTGATATCAGTCTCTGCCACTTTATAAGGTCTTTAGGAAATTCACATCCATGCAGCCACTTTGTAACTTACTGAGAAGCCTGTGTCTGCTGGAAATACTGTACAATAGGTAACACTGAATGATTGCAGAAGAAGATTCTTCAGATATTGTACTTTTGCATTAAAATGGAGTTTAAGTCAGTTGAGGCCAATAAAATTGTCAATAAAGTGTGCAGAAAGTTTATATTCCAGCAGATTATCATTAGATGATTCCATGAGTTATGAGCTCTGTTGCAAGTGACATGCATTTTTTGCTGCATGAGAGAGTTGTGTGGAACAGATGAGGAAACATGCAGATACATACAGTATCTTCCCTTTTCTGTGTGCCTTCAAGGTCTGTGGGAAGCTGCAAAGGGGCCTGTTTCAAGAGAGAAAGAATCCTCTTCTTCAGCAGCCAAGAAGTTGGTTATTCTCCCAGAAAATGGAGCTTAGGAGCTACTTTTTGTATTAATCTTTTAGGCTCTTCTGTGAAAGGCACCATCCATCTCCATGTTTTAGAAAGCTCTTTGAGTTATGACCCTACTTTCAAAAGAAATAGTAACTCAAAATTTAGATTAAAAAAATGTGGTGTACAACATTGGGTTATCAAGACCTTGTTTAACATTTCAGTGTTTTGCTTAGCATGTGGGATTTCCTAATTTTTTCACTTATCCTTCCTGTGTGCCTTTGAAGTTATCATGAACCAGGTTTTGGAGGAATCCGACTCTTGAATTAACAGTTTAGAGCATCTGAATGCCTGAGCTGTCTGCACTGTGGGTGGTGAAACCCAGCTTGCAGGAGAGTTGGTGGCACCTCATTTGGTGGCAGTCTTAATTCTGTCCCTGCCTGGATTCTGTGGATAGGGTAGCTCAGCCAACAGGTCTGGTATTTAATATTGATAAGAAAAACTGCAGACAAACGGTGATAGTTGTTAACAACATAGCCACAGGCCTCCTTTCCAGTTCAAAGTTTCCTGTGCCTGCTATCCAGCCTGTATCCACAAATGAAATGTTACAGAGACCCTCTGCAGGACCTTTTGTATGTTGTGTCCCTGTAACACTCTGCTTTGTCATCTCTCCAATTCTAGCGTGCGCTCTGGATTTGAAGGGATGAAGGAACTGGAGATCTGCAACAAGATAATGACAAAAATGCTGGAAAATTACAATACCTTGTTTGAATTAGAAGGCTTGAAGAAGGATGAAGAAAAGCCTGTATGTGAAGAGCTAGCAAAAATAATTTTGGTAAAAGTGAGTATCTCTAATATTTCATTTTCTCACAGCAAATCAATAATTCAGGCTTATTTCAGGCTTCAATTCAGAAATCTTTTAGATAAGTGGAAGGCAGACTCTTGTAATAATGATGTGTGTTATTGATTGGTATGCAGTTTACACATTGATACTGCTGATAGGCTAATTTTCATTACTGGCCCGGAAGTTCATTTTATTAAACATCTTACTCTTTGTTGGCTACGCACTTATTTATGCAGGAAATATATTCACTAAAATTTAAATGTTTTTAAATGAGGAGGCAGAATAATTCTAAGGACAGTGGTCCTAGAGTACCAAACCTCTAGGACAGAGGTTTCTAACCTTTGCCTTTGTGTGAAGTCTGCCTGTCTCAGACATGCACTGGAGTTTAAAAGTCAGGTGTTCTCACTCAGCCATTTCTGGATGCACTTGAAGAGAAGCATTAAATAAGAGTCTTTGCAAAAAGTACATTGGAGCTCTTAAAGAAAAGTGTTGTAGTTAGAGTATTACGCCTTTGGTGGGAAGAGGGCTTGTGTGTAACATCAAAGGATTCTAACATTTAAAAGCTGACAAGTAGGGCAACCAAAAGTGCATCGTTCTGGCTTGTGCTGTCTCTACCACAGGAAACAACCTCAAGTCTGTGCAGGAAAATGGTCATGAGGATGGTTTGCAGGTGCCTCATTTCTTATTGTGTGTTAACTGTGCTGATAATTACTCTCCTAAAGGGTGTGAATTCTTGAGTTTGGGAGGGTTGAACTACGCGCCCATCCTTGGTAGGGTTTTACCCACTGATAAAATCACTTTAGCCTTCACTGTCTGGAATAGAAGTTGTCAGAAAATAAGTTATGAAAATACAGTATCTTTGACCTTGACGGAACAGGAGGTTTGGTGTGAGCCCAGGTTCTGCCATTCAGATGAAATTAGCTGATAACATCTCTGCCTTTGTGATGTATCACAGGAGGGTCTGCTGGATTGGTGTAAGTTTGGCTCAGCGGCATTTAGAAGGGTTGCTGGTTTTCTTAAGTGGTGAATCAGCGAGGAAGTATTTTGCTGTATTTAGTTGTCTTTTAGCTGTTACTAGCACTCAGCTGAAATGCCTCCGTGGAAGGAGACAGAATCACTGATAGCCTTCCAGTGTAACAGTAACTTCTGCTTAACTTCAGTGGAAGTGATCTGCTTCGCCAGTGATATTGATGTTCAGCCACTGATGATCACTTCAGCAACACAACCAGGGAAAGAATATATTTCAAAAAAAAAAGGGCCCAGAAGAAATGCTTCAGATGTATTTCCTTCTCCTTCAAGCCTCAGCCAGTTCCAGAAGTCAAGATAGTCTTTCAATTCTGAGGACTTAGTAGTAATTGGGATTGCACTGAGGTGAAGATCTGGGAAATTTCCCACAGCTGTTGGGAGATACAAGCTGTCAAATTGCATGGTGACAACCAGAATTACTCCAACAAAATACACTGAGATAAAATTACTCAAGCGAGATGGGAAGTGTTGCCCATTGCATTGCCTCAGGAGACAGATGATTGCCTGAGAGAGCTATGCCTAAATACAAGGGTTCACATTGTGTTTGCATCTTTGGACCTTGTTGATATTTTCCAAATTCTGCTGGCAACCAGCTGCAAAAAATTGACCTTGTTTGTTGTCCATCTAATTTGGGTGGGAAGTTTCTAGTTTAATCAGGGCACATACTCAAATACAAGAAGTACAATCATCTAACTTCATGTAGCAAAGGTACTAAGAAGGTTTTTTGAAATTTGTCAGGCGGCTCTATGAAGGGACGTTTCATATTATTCTCAAAGATTAAATTTTTTGTATCCTAGCAAATATCCCCCATCCTAGTCAATTTGTATAATAAACTAGAGATAGTACACTTGAAGTGAAAACCAAGTGATGATGAGATTCAGCAGAGAAAAGTGATTGCCAGATTGCTAATGCATGAACCATTACATACAGTAGAAGCTGTCTGTGTTGTTCAGGAACAAATGCCTCAGAGAATTATTTGTGATGACCTGTGTCACAGTGTCCAGAAAACAGCAAGCTGTTTGTAGGCAAAGTTACTGCTTCTGGAAAAGCCACTGATGTATCTACAGGTAGGTGGATAGAAATTTTCCAAATAATCCTGCTGTAAGCAGTGAAGATTGTAAGATGCTCAGGACATTGCTCTCCAAAACTGAGGCCCTGTTGCTTTTAAGGATGTTGCATTGAAGCTTGAACCATGGTGGGATAGGGGAGTGAATGGCAAGGAAAGTGAAGAAACTGTGGACTTGCCCTTTACCAAACTCATCTGCATTTATTTAAGTGGCTTTTTTACCTTCTGTTTTGGGAACAGCAACAGGGTAAGGAGAATTTTAGATGACCTCACTCACTTCCTTGTTGGGTATTCCATCATCCTTTCCCTCACATCCCTCACTGCATTGCCAGCACTTCACTCTGAGTCACTACACTGCTTCCTTTCCTGTGATTGCTTTCACTCTCACTCCTTCCTCACTTTTCCATGTTTACATTTTTCTCTGAATTCCCACAGCCCTGTCCCACTATTCTTGCTGTCAAATGAAAACAAGAATATGTGGATCATTAGATGAAGTCACGGAAACATCAAGCTTCTCTTGGAGCTGTGTACTGGAAAGGAAAAACAGCTCCAGTGGAGCAAGTTGCATCTTGTTTACTGTGTTGGTCATATCTAGGGGAAATCCACAATGCTGCAGGCTTCCAGGAGGAACAAGAGCATTTGAATCAGGCACAGACTGTGGCAGATTAAAGAAAATATGTTTTAAGGAGGCAGAAAATTAATTAGTTTTGGAGATGGGAAAAAGAGACATGATTTTTTAGGGCTGTTGATAGTTGAACTACCATTCTTGTTGTGTGTGTGCACTGAGGAGGCACAGAAACACCTTACCCCCAGTTATATTTCTTCTTTCAAAGTTTGTTCAGTCATTGTGAAAGCCAACTTGTGCCAGGTAAAAGGGATTTCTTAGCTTGCTTTTTCTGTGGATCACAATTCAGAAAATAAAGCAACTGGAAGTCTCTGCAAGTTGCATTTCAGTCCCTGCTTTGTTTCTCCTCTTGCTCATTGCTTAATATTATAATTATTTCTAATTATAATATTGTAATATTATAATTAGAAATTATGGAAAGTGTTTCTTTGGAAACACCTACATCTTTTTTAAAAGTACAATTTTAACAAAAAAGAAAATTTGTCTTAGAATAGTTTCTCTTTCATTGGGAAATTGAACTGTCAGCTTCATGACACCTTGCCTGGAAGGATTTTGTTCCACCTATTAGAATGATACCAGATGATTATCCAGTCTGGTGGCCAGCAGGTGGAAGTATAACATGTGCTTTCTTCAGAAATATAACTATATTTGGAAATGCCTTATAATAAAAGAATTCTGGGATTTGATTGACGACTGTTTTTTAAAATTCTGAAATAAACTGAATTTTGTTGGAGTTTACAGGTCTCATTTGCAGCCAGCTATTACTGCAATCCTTAATCCAAGCTTTACTTCAGTTTCCTAAGTCAGTAAGAGTCTCAGTCTGTTGATCAGTAGGCTCTGCTAGTTAGAGAGAAATAGGTGAAGTGGGTTGAACATTCTGATTAGGTGCTTGCTCGGAGGTCACATTGTCAGGATTGTAAATACCTGTTTTTTATTAGGCAGTGTTATGTGTAAACAGTTAATTTTCTGATAGTACATTTGCACTGTTGTGCATTTTCACATTATAGATGTCAGGGGTTCCTAAGAAAATAATGCTTATATTTTGCTTTGGAACAGAATTCCTAGTGTGAATCCATATGATCCTGATAGGTTTTTGTGTTACTAAACTGAGTGATATCTCATGCAGTGAACAGTTAGTCAGTCTTGAGTTGCAGTACTGCCAATTTTGTAATCTTCTGGAAAAAATAGGTTTACAAAACCTATGGTAACAACAGAAATGATAATTTGAACAATAAATAATAATAAATAAAATAAAATATTAAAAAGGTCTTGAATTGCTGTTTGAACTGTAGTTGTATATAGTCCTATGTTGGAGCAGTAGCCGGTGGTGTATTGCTGCAAGTGGAATGAATTGGGGTCTTGGAATAACAGTCATTAGGCTTCCCTAATGATCAGAGATGGGCAGTGAAGGTTTTTATGTAGTTCAGGTGGCAAGGGAAATTTGGGCAGGAGAGCTACCATGAGACTTGCTCTTGGGAGATTTCTAGAATTAATCCTTCTGCTGGCTTGAGGTGAAACATGCCACCTTTAATAGCATGGTTTGTAGCTCAGTATTGTCTTCAAATAAAACGTATGCTTTATTATCTAGTCATACAGGATTACAAGATTTTATTTTTTCTATTGTATTTCACCTTTTCCCTCCAATGCCTTCTTGACAGAGCACTTCTAGTTTCAAGAACCAGTCAGCTCAGAGCACATAAATATTTGCACTGGCACAGAACACTGACATTATGAGGCTGTAATGCTGTTCCTGGTTTGATCACATGCTTGGGACAGGAATGCAAAAGGCTTTTCCCATTCCTCTCTAGCTGGGTGGTAGAATACATACCCTGTTCACCTGATGCAGAAGAAAAAGCAAGTATATTTTGAAAATTAATATAACATTAAAATAATACTAATGTAATATAACATTAAAATCAAATCCAAAGTCGATCCTACAAAGTCCAGTAAATACATATACAGTTTTATCATTTTGAGTATATTGTAGGTGCATTCGGATGACCTCTGAACAGGCAGGTTTCAGTCCCTGAAGAGCTGCAGAAATTGGTCCTCTGCTCATTTTTGCAAAAACAAATAATTTCAAAAGAACTCTTATTTTAGAAGCAATTACTTCCCTGCATTTTTATCCTGTTTGTTTCCAGTCTTCTAGCCAGGGCTGCCACTTCAGTGGGAAGGATGAGTTGACAGAGTAGTTTTTTGCACTTGAAATGGCAGCACAAGTGCACGCACAGCATTGTGCAAGCCTGCTCTGAGATTTGTGACATGCAGCAGTCCCTTGCT